ATTAATCAATTATGAAAAAAATATTCTGGCATGGTGCATTTTACTGGCTTTTGCACAGGGTTCATGCCACCGTAACAGAAAAAACAACAACTAAAAAAAACAAAGAAACAAAAACAAAACCCATAACCTGCCTGCTTTTTTTAAAAAAAAAACCTGGCACCAACACATGTAACCTGTCATCTTTTCCCATGGGAACTCTTTTATGGCTGAGTCAGACTACAGGTGCTTCAGTGCTTGTCCCCATTACAGACCTTAAACTTCACACAGCTAATGACACATACACAAGGCTGTAATATTAACAAACAGGCAGCACTTTTAGAGGCCATAAAACTAACACGCCTCTGTCTGAGACCTCAAACATTTAACATGACACACAACGTACACTAAATGCCTCATATGCAAAGTACATACTACATAATCAGAGTGTTAGATGCTTATTCTTTCATGAAGAAAAAGCATTTGCAATCTCTGGATTATTAGTGCAACAGTTGTTTGGAGCCATGAGAGCCATTGTTTTCACTCCCCAATACATTATCATCATGATTCAGTATTATCTGCATTTAAGGGGGGTCACTGATCAAACAGTTAAATGTCAATGACTCATTTTTAGATTTTAGAGGCCTGACTCCAACAAAATAAAGCTAACTGTACTTTATAATTTTGAAGTAGACTGGAAAACTGCAGGAAAATTATTTAAAGTTGTGTGGGCAGATGCTCTTTAGAAAACAAGGGCATTTGTTCTTTGTGAATAAGAACATTGTTCAACAAAATGCCGGCTGGACAAAGCTACAATCAACGGTCTGGTAACTCAGCCATGACACTGGAGTTTACAGACCTGTGACTGAGACAATTGCTAGAAAAAATTAAATTATCCTTGGCTTAGTTAAAAAAGGGTTCAGTATGAAATCATGAAAGGGAAAAGGACGGACAGAAAGCAAAAGAAATACAAACATGTCAACAGTGTAAAACACTTGACAGCTTACTGACAGTGTGATGAACAGACACGAAGAAGCTGAATGTGAAACATGTTTGCTCATCAAAATGCTCTCATGTCATGTCACAATATAGAGTTGTTACTACATGTGCTGGTAGTCAAGTTTTAATTTTTAAAAGGTAGCATTAAATCTGTCCTATCAATCAAATGTTGAATGTTATGTTAGCATAATGCATTCAAGAAAAAGAATCTGCTTTTTTAGTGAATTACCAAGATAATTAGAGTCAGAACTCTGATAAAAGTTTTCATGGGAGAAATATTTGCCATCTTTCTCAATTAAGGAGATGAATATTTTTGTGATAATTATTTCCGTAATTCAAAAAAGCAGGAGAATTTTTTTCTGTCAAAATTTTCCCATAATTCTGAGATAAAGATGTAGGTAATTCAGAAGAACAAGAGCAGCGTTTTTTTCTTCATGATTTGTGATTTTGGATTAGCAGGGAGGGTCGATGGGTTAACTTTGAGATAGAAAATTTGAATCAAGGGCTTAGAGATGCAAGGGCGAAGAGGTTTATATTGTGATACTTTTGTTTCCATTGATTTGTATCTTCATATATTGTTAGTTGTTTCCTGCACAGACCACTTTGGTAATAAGTATTTTTAGTAATATTTAAGTGCTGTTCCCTGGGATTTTTCTGTCATGATACTCCTTTGAGTTACTGAGCTTTTAAATTCCTAATAAAAATCAAATCTAGTAGTATTTTATTCCACATTCAGTCTTTGCTTAATTTACGTGCTTTAACAGATGTTTTCATGAGTTCCTGTCTGAGCCTTCAACTTATATTTTAGACCTCATGACTAGACAGACCACCACTGAGGCGAGTTTAAGAAACACTTCCAGCCTGCCTTAAGGCTTTTCAGACCACCTGATGTCATCATGTACAGTATGTGATGTGACAAGAGCCCCTTTAGTATGTTTTCTCATGTTTTACAAGTACCTGCGTGCCTGAATCCTGCCAGGTCTGAGTTTGGACTGTACTTAAGCGGAAAAGATGGCTATTGTTATGCAATACATAACAATGAATCTTCTTACAGTGGATCTACATGCTAGGGGGATTCTAGAGTCTCTTTTGTTCCCCCGTTTAATTTCTAGATGCTTGCCATTAGGTCACAAAAGCAATACAACTCAGGACAACAGCACTTGGGCTGCACTATCAATCAGTCTTTTTCTTTTATCAAAGTGGCAATGTGACCAAGTACATTATCCATATTGCAGGAGCTGCAATTTTTTGATTAAGGTAAAATGTGTAGAAGCATACCATTGTTAATGAAGCATTGTGGTGCTACAGAGATGACCGGGCCTACAAATCATATTCCAGATGTAAGGAACCGTCCTTGTATGGTACAGAGCCCATCAAAAAAAAATCACACCACCATCATTTTTATATTATTTTCCAGTAAAAACAGAATTCAAAAATTACCATTTCCACTAAAATTGCAACTCAACATCACATTTGCCATCTCTGTCAAATTATGATATTTTTCTTCATATTGTGCAGCCCTAAACAACACTTAATTTTGGACAAGACTGCCTCTGCCAGTTTTACCACCACTGGCTGACTAAATAATACCAGCAACTTGTCCATTATGTTAGCCAAAATGAGAGTCTGTTTGAAAAGAGTCAGTTTTTCCTCTATGCACTGGAAAAAAAAAAATTACATTGCACTTTTATTTCTAACATTTGAGGATCTATCTATGATATTACGACATCCAGTGTAAAAGATGCTATATTGATTATTTAACTCTGATGCTGGTGTCATTATAACTTGAATTTACGTTGTGTCATGTATCATTGGTTTTTGGTGCCTTTATTACCCTTGGAGTGACCTCACCAGGGGAAAAAATGACACCAACGCAAAACAGCTTGAACTCCAATGAACCCAGATGGCCTCCTAATTTTTCTTTGAATAAAGACGCTAAAGTTGACTTAAAAGTGATCCTATATGGTACAGACACATTAAGTAGTATGAAAGTCAGCCACTACTAATTGAAAATCAATTAGTCGCTAGATCTGGAGTGTTTGACGCATAATTGACACAACAAACAACGCGGCGCAGTTATTTAATAAAAAAACTGCGTATCAGCTAGCTTGCTGCTTATAGTTATCCGCAATGCGCAGAGGGCAAGAGAATTTAATTTGTAATTAAACACTGAAAATTACATTTTAATGTGTATAAATTTCGCAAAGAGGTAGTAAATTAGCTCTGTCCCTCCCTCAGGTAGGCTGCTTAAGATAGCTCCGAACAATAGACGGCAACTAGACTTTCAAGATATAAAGCAAGCCTATTTCAGTTTTTTTACCTGTGAACACAGGACCAACAACAAAAACTGCTACACCACAGTGAAACAGATTTTTCTCGGAGCCAGGTGAGGTCTTACCTGGCTGTAGGTGAGTCCACGTTATTCCTTCAGAGAGACTGCACACTGCATTCCAGAGGAGGGATGTCAACAAGAGTCAGTTCCGCTAAACTGTGGAGCCAGCTCCCTTCATCAGGTTGTATCTGAGCTCCTCCGGGTGAAACTCGAGAAGCTGGGCCCTCCTGCTGCTCCAGCAAGGGCGTGGCACTCCGGAGAAGGCTATATAAGCCTCCGCAGCGCAAACAAGACTCGTGTAAGCAAGCAAACCCTGGTATTCCTACGCCCCAATGACCTGTAGCTGTCCCCTGCCATTTGCAGGATATAATCTGTCACTTCTATTGCAAAGAACCTCTGCTACAGTACATGTGTGAAAGCAGTATCTATTAGAGAACACTGGTCTATCTAAGGCATATCTTTTTCCATTCATCAGTGTGTGTTTCCATTATCCCAAACAGCTGTGTTGGAACGTGACCATACTCTGAGGCTACACAGGCTGGCAGGTCAACCAGGTGCAGGGTTGGCACTCATGCAGTGTATGTGTAACCTTATAGTAGTGGGCAAAACACTGGTAGTCTAATCACACACATTAGTTATTCCAGATTTATTATTTTTTCTTTTAATTTCACTTTGTATTGCAACAATGCTAAATTTTACAGAAAAAACTGTCAAAAAAAGGTTCACTTCTTAAATGGCTTTAATCTCAAGTTCTTCAGCTACATAATCACTGACTCAGTTATGATGGATTTTAAAAATAAGTCCTCTTGACTGCTGTGATGTTAACAAGGCACATCGAGGTATAGTCATATACACGTCTCTTCAAATAATAACTAGAGTGACTGGAGACCATAAAGTTTAGATTCAATAAATAGTCTTTGACCCTGCAGCTCAGTACTTGAACTAAAGGGGAATTGCGCCCATTTTCAGAATTTACACGTTATTCCTATGGTCTAAGACAGTCCAAAATTGTAAGCAAACATGAACAACCAAATCCAAAAACTAGAGTGCTAAGACTCAGTTTGTGATGTTACAGAATACAGAGCCAGGAGCTGCTCCATAGACTAGAATGAATTGGGAAAGAAAGTATGGATGACGCTGAGAGCACCCAGGGGAGTTTTAAGTATATGGATACATTTTCTGTTTCAGATCTGAGAACAATACAACAGAATAAAGCTCATTTGGGTATAAAGAAGAAAAACAAACATTCTGTGAGTCCACAAAATCAGTCTCCCATTCATTGTCTATGAAGCAGCTCAAGATTTAATACTTGATGACATCACAAATTTGAGACTTTCTTCTCTGGTTTCTGGTTTTGAGAGAGTAGCTCATGTTCGCTAATACTGATGGAACTTCTCCAGGCCATGAAAATAACACATGGGAATTCTTCATGTAGGTGATGCTCCCCTTTAAATAACTGCTATAGTTTTAGTTAGCAGCCTCTGAAGGAAATTTGATTAAAAATAATCACACTGTGACATGTCTCAATATAAAGACATACACCATAAAAAACACATTCAAAGAGCCTTTCTGTCATCAAACCTGACATTAATTAACTCTTTGGACGTAAAAATTAATCACAAATTAATTTAATGATCAATTTACAATTTCAGCAAAAAGGCCGAACATTCCGTTCATTTGCTTCACAAATGTGAGCGTTTGCTGCTTCCTTTATTTTCTGTGAAGGCCCCTGAATATCTTTGGGGTTTAGACCGTTGGTTGGACAAAACTCAAACGCAATCTGAAGACATAACCTTAGGGTTTAGGAAACTGTGATCGGCCTTTTTCATGTTTTCAGATTTTTTTTTAACCAAAAAATTATGTGATTAATGATAGTTGCTAGTTGCTGTCCTACCGAGCTCATTGATCTATCTGTATTACACTGTTATTAGCTTTGTTAACTTAGCCCACAGGAAGAGCAGCAAAGCCATCTGCAGACACAGGAATCTGGGGCTCTATATTACATCTAATATTAATCCATCCAGTTCATAAACAACAAAAAAACCATCAGAATGCTACATAATAAAAAGGAAAAGAAATAAGATAATCTGAAATGATGTTACCACTGCTCCCACTCTACATTACAGGGATACCGGGACACTTTAAACTATAGTCATTTTTTTTCAAAACCAGACACTTGTATCCTCATTAAATAGTTTCTACATTTCTCCTTCAGTTTCCCAACAGTTTATTTTGTAGGCACCCGTGCCATTTGACAAAATATTACTATTATATAAATACACATACGTACATATTAAAAAGTAAGAGGATATTCCTCCTGCGTGACAAGTATCTAGCAAAGAAAAATGACCCACTACAATTCAAGGTGTCATAGTATCCCTTTAACACCCTCTCTCTTCCCATACATCATACTTTGTTGACACTTGGATGTATTAGCTACATTTTTTAAGCTCCCCTAAGGCAAAAGATTGTAACTTGTGTCAAGTCCACAGTTAATATACAGCGAGCCAATGAGGCCCTGGCCTGGCCCGAAAACATGATTGGTGGAAGAAAAGAGCTGAAGAGGCTGCTCCCTGTTTTTGTGGCAGTGTGTCCAGAACATGACAGTTTTTGGATGCTCTAAAGCTTTGGCATCACCATCCAGTCAGTCTGTTGGAACAGTTGTAAAGGAATGAGCAGTATGAAGACAGTCTAGACTTCAGTGGCCTGTATCCTGGGATGTTAGTGTAGAGTGATTTCTTGTTCCTCATCTTCGTCATTGTATTCAGCAGCTGAATCGTCCCTTTCATCTCCCTTCTGCCGCAGTAATGGCAACTCAAGCTCTGGGCTCTTACTGTTGAGCTGCCTTAAAGACGGTCCCTTATCTGATGGAAAATATCACAAAATAGACACTGTCAACATTATTGTCTCTTATTTCCCCAGCCACGTAATCTCTTTGTTTATTGTTCCTTGAATAGAATATTTGAGCTTCATTGTGCATAAAGAATGTGCAGAGTTTGACAACAGGAGAACACTTATCTGCTGAAGAGGGAAAGTTCCTTTGTTCACCTTAAAGCTTGGGTTGGCAGTTTTATTTGGGCATCATTGGGCAAAAGTCCCATAAACTTTGAGCATGTTGTAATTCATGTGGTCTGAGCGAAAACCAGACTTCTGCATCTCCTCTTGGCTATGTTTTTGGGATTTAGAAAATCTAGCCCATGACAAGGGATCTTGCCCAATCACAGGTCATCTCAGAGAGAGGATATTCCTATTGGCTGTTCTACGAAAGCAGATGCATGTGCACATCCCTTCAGCTTGATTCAGTGGCAGAGAATCCTGCAGAGAAAGTATTCTAGCACTGGCAAAAACTGCCTACACTGCAAAGCAAACCCAAAAAAGGGAGATGGACTTACCAAAAAGATAGTCTGACACTAAACAAAACAAAACACTTGTTTGGATCGGCAAAGGAATGGAGAGAAAATGTTTCTAATACTTCATATTGTTGCTGATGTATTAATTTAGCATTCAGATGACTGGAGTCAAAGGCTCATAGCTGCAGCTTCAAGGTAATGTTAATGTAGCTAATGTTAGGTAGAGCCTCGAATCACAGTGTGTCCATGGCCTCAATCTCCTCGGAGAGGGGGCAGCAGTTCAGTGATGGACCCCCCTGTTAGTGGCCACAGCAACTCAAATTTAGCCAGCGCAAATCCCAGCCCTGGGGGACCAGACCCCCCCCCCCCCCCCCCCGCAGGATCAGCAAACCTTTTGTTGCTGCCATGATACAGGTTAGACCTGGCACTGTGGCTGGGTTTTTAAAAAAATATTTGATTGACTCTGGATACGCTGTCGCCAATAGAAAATATAACATAATTATATGTTTATGTAACATTGTATTATGAACAATACTAATGAAATGAATACTTACTTTTGGAATAATACGTCTTGAGTCCCACATGCAATGAAATGCCACACAGACATACAGCGAATCCCAGCCAATTAAGCATGCTCATTTTGTCTCCCATCACAGCTGCTGCCAAAAGCAGAGTACACACCTCCTGCAGGAAAACAAGACAATAAATGGAATGAAATGAAAGGGTGTATTAGATAGGTCTGAACAAGACTAGAACACTGCAACCATCCAAGACATCTGTGCTAAATACCAAACTCATAGAGGAGCACTAATCTGTTGTATTTGTGAATGTGAGAAGATGTAAACATTTTGGACAGAAGTAATAAGCATCATTTCCCAAATAACCTCTAAACCCATTCCTCTTCTTCCCAAACTCTGCATCTTGGGTCCATACTCTGAGTATGCAGCATTGAGGACATAAAGTTATAACTTTGCATGGGTGAACTCTGCCTTATTCACACAAAATGTCTGATCTCTTGCTGTTGAAAAAATGTGCCCTGGCCCTCGCTTCGGTTATTTACTTAAAGAATTACCATCCTTTTTTGCACTACTTACTCTGTGCTCTACATACACTGTAACTTTTTTTCCTCTCTTGTGGAGAAGAATTATAAAGTACCTTAAAGATCCCTGATATGGATAGCGTGAGGCTGGAGGTTCGAGAGACCAGCAGGAACTCTGAGAAGCCTAAACCATAGGCCAGTAAACCGCCGACACTCAGTGTGATGACTGAATACAGGAAAGGTGAGAGCTCCGTCACCCGGAATAACTTTTCTGAGGTACTGAGTCTCAGCCCTGAAAAGAAGACAGAGAGGAGAATTTACAGTGGTGTTTCCATCATGGGTCAATTGCATGTCATTAGTTATATCTGCACGTTTCAGGATTTTCAAATCAAATTAGAAATGACAGAGACACAGTGAAGCATCTTGCCAATGTTAGATCTTTAGCATGCAATGCCAAGCAATTGGATTGCTGACTAACTATGAGCATAATCCTATTAGCACAGTCAGGCTATGGTGTTTACACAGACTCCACCTCACACTCATAACTGCCAAAAATCACATTAAGCACATAACCACTAGATTATTGGAGTGCAGAAAAATGTAGCTGAGAAAATATTATATCTGCAGCTACTTGTTATATTGGCTATGCATCATGAAGCAAGAGTAAAGAAATATAAAAATATCTGAGAATAGGTGATAGATGGGTCTGTCTCAATACCCCTACTTAATAACACCAGGTAGTAGGAAGTCATGTCCCACCTCTGAAAAATGCCAACGTGCTTTTTACTCATCCCATATGTAATTTACACTATCCTTGAACTGCTTCAGAGTCCTTTTTTCACAGCAGACATTTTTAATCGTGACACAGCAGGAAAAGCACAGGTGTAACTGATAACATAAGACATGAACAAGCATCAAGGACTACGTTGACACTTCCTGTTTTAGGAAAATGACCTTTGGTCCATACAGAGGGGTCTGTGAAATCTTTCAATGAAAAATTCTGAAATACAATAATTAAGACTACAGATTTTAGTTTTCTGCAGTGACACGCGATGAGAGACAACAGAGTGAGGATGTCAAACCATAGCTTATGGCTTTACTAACCTTCATTATACAGGAAGAGGGGAAAGAGGCCAAGGAACATAAGAGGTTGTAGGTGGTACATAGCATCAATTGGGTTCTGAAGGCCTGGTGGAGAGTGCAACATGAAAAAGAAGATTGAAGAGGAGCAAACTGTGGTTTCGACTTTTTAAAATCAATTTCTCACAGTAAAGGCAAAACAAAAAAACACAAATTCAGATGTACCCAATAGTCATATCAGAGGATACAATATTATATATTGTCTGACCTTTCTCTAAGCTGCATGCTGAACACTGTTTTAATTGGGGTTATATTAAACATATAAAACATCTATCAATTCATTCAAGGTAAGAGGATTGCCCAGCGCATCACAAAATGACTGGACACTGTCAGTAACAGTATTGGTTGGATCGAGGTGTTTACTGAAAGGCTAAAATGCCAAAATGCCGTTATACAGTCAGGTCCATAATTATTTGGACAATGATACAGTTGTCGTCATTTTGGCTCTGTACACCACCACAATGGGTTTTAAATGAAACAATGAATACCTGCTTAAAGTGCAGACTCTCAGCTTTCATTTAAGGCTTTTTTCAAAAATGTAGTATGAACCATGTAGGAATTACAACCATTTCTTCACACAGTCCCCCGACTTTAAGGGCTCATAAGTATTTGGACAAACTAACATAATCATCAATTAAACAGTCAGTTTTAATACTTGGTTGCAAATCCTTTACAGTCAATGACTGCCTGAAGTGTTGGACACATAGGCATCATCAGATGCTGGGTTTCTTCCCTGGTGATGCTCTGCCAGCCCTTTACTGTAGCCGTCTGCACTTCCTGCTTGTGTTTTGGGTGTTTTGCCCTCAGTTTTGGCTTCAGCAAGAGAAACGCATGCTCAATTGGATTCAGATCAGATGATATGACTTGGCCATTGCAGAACATTCCACTTCTTTGCCTTAAAAATGTCTTTGGTTGCTTTTGCAATATGCTTCAGGTCAATGTCCATCTGCACTGTGAAGCATCGTCCAATGAGTTTTGAAGCATTTAGTTGAATCTGAGCAGATAATGGTGCCCCAAACACTTCAGCTTTCATCCTGCTGCTCTTGCAAGCAAGACAAGACTTCACTAGAATAAATACAGAGGGTTTATCACAAGATGCAAACCATTGGTTAGCCTTAAAAATGGAAGGCCAGATTAGAGTTAGTCAAAAACCATCTAAAAAGCCTGTACAGTTGTGGAACAGCATACTATGGACAGATAAAACAAAGATCAACTACCAGAATGATGGGAAGACAAGAGAAGGAAGAAGGGAAGGAACTGCTCATGATCCAAAGCACACCACCTCATCAGTGAAGCATGGTGGAGGTACTGTTATGTCATGGCCATGTATGGCTGCCAGTGGAACTGGTTCTCTTGTATTTATTGATGATGTGACTGCTGAGAAGAGCAGCAGGATGAAAGCTGAAGTGTTTGGGGCACCATTATCTGCTCAGATTCAACCAAATGCTTCAAAACTCATTGGACGATGCTTCACAGTGCAGATGGACAATGACCTGAAGCATACTGCAAAAGCAACCAAAGACATTTTTAAGGCAAAGAAGTGGAATGTTCTGCAATAGCCAAGTCATATCATCTGACCTGAATCCAATTGAGCATGCGTTTCTCTTGCTGAAGCCAAAACTGAGGGCAAAACACCCAAAACACAAGCAGGAAGTGCAGACGGCTACAGTAAAGGGCTGGCAGAGCATCACCAGGGAAGAAACCCAGCATCTGATGATGACTATGAGTCCAACACTTCAGGCAGTCATTGACTGTAAAGGATTTGCAACCAAGTATTAAAACTGACTGTTTAATTGATGATTATGTTAATTTGTCCAAATACTTATGAGCCCTTAAAGTCGGGGGACTGTGTGAGGAAATGGTTGTCATTCCTACACGGTTCATACTACATTTTTGAAAAAAAGCCTTAAATGAAAGCTGAGAGTCTGCACTTTAAGCAGGTATTCATTGTTTCATTTAAAACCCATTGTGGTGGTGTACAGAGCCAAAATGACGACAACTGTATCATTGTCCAAATAATTATAGACCTGACTGTACATTCAACATATCTATACCTATTCATTTGTATTCAAAACTGCAACATTAAAATGTTTTAAAGGAACTGGTTTGTTCATCTTTTTAACTATCTCAATCAATTGCGGGTGGATTGCTGCAGGTCTGGAAAAGCAGACAGTCATATTTGAATTTCAGTGTTTATATAGCTAAAATGCCCACGAGCAAAGCATCTATAACAGGACTGCTGTACTTTTATTCATCATCAGTTTGACATGTGACTCAACACTGACCCAGCTCTGCTTTCTGCATGAGGACCTGAGTGAGGGTCCAGCGGATTCCGCCTATGAAGGATGCCAGCAGCACCATGATGAAGCCCTCCAGGTTGAACTGGGTCGACTCATATGTAAACATAAACAGACCACTGGAGATCAGCAGGACCACCAGGATCAGGAATGGGTTCTGTTTGAGTAGGAAAGAAGAGAGAGACAGTGAAAAACAGCAGGGGAAAAGAATTGTAGATGAGAAGTGATGGGAAATCGAGAGGAAAAAAAAAACAGAAAATATAAATAACAGGAAAAAAAGGTAAATACAAAAGAGCATAACAAAGAATGATGCTGATGGACAGAAATAAAGATTGCATAAAATATGAATGGAAAATTCCCAGAACATGGCAAAATAAATATTTTGGCCATGGTACTTTAAATCTGTCACTTACTATGACATACACTGCCTGGCCAAAAAAAAAGTCACCACCAAAAAAAAAAGGTCATACACTCTAATATTTCGTTGGACCGCCTTTAGCTTTGATTACGGCACGCATTCGCTGTGGCATTGTTTCGATAAGCTTCTGCAATGTCACAAGATTTATTTCCATCCAGTGTTGCATTAATTTTTCACCAAGATCTTGCATTGATGATGGTAGAGTCTGACCGCTGAGCAAAGCCTTCTCCAGCACATCCCAAAGATTCTCAATGGGGTTAAGGTCTGGACTCTGTGGTGGCCAATCCATGTGTGAAAATTATGTCTCATGCTCCCTGAACCAGTCTTTCACAATTTGAGCCCGATGAATCCTGGCATTGTCATCTTGGAATATGCCCGTGCCATCAGGGAAGAAAAAATCCATTTATGGAATAACCTGGTCATTCAGTATATTCAGGTAGTCAGCTGACCTCATTCTTTGAGCACATACTGTTGCTGAACCTAGACCTGACCAACTGCAGCAACCCCAGATCATAACACTGCCCCCACAGGCTTGTACAATAGGCACTAGGCATGATGCGCCCATCACTCTGGAACAGGGTAAATCTGGACTCATCAGACCACATGACCTTCTTCCATTGCTCCAGAGTCCAATCTTTATGCTCCCTAGCAAATTGAAGCCTTTTTTCCGGTTAGCCTCACTGATTAGTGGTTTTCTTAAGGCTACACAGCTGTTCAGTCCCAATCCCTTGAGTTCCCTTCGCATTGTGCGTGTGGAAATGCTCTTACTTTCACTATTAAACATAGCCCTGAGTTCTACTGTTGTTTTTCTTCGATTTGATCTCACCAAACGTTAAGTGATCGCCGATCACGATCATTGAGGATTTTTTTCCGGCCACATTTCTTCCTCGAAGACGATGGGTCCCCACTATCCTTCCAGTTTTTAATAATGCGTTGGACAGTTCTTAACCCAATTTTAGTAGTTTCTGCAATCTCCTTAGAGGTCTTCTCTGCTTGATGCATGCCAATGATTTGACCCTTCTCAAACAGACTAACATCTTTTCCACGACCACGGGATGTGTCTTTCGACATGGTTGTTTAGGAAATGAGAAGCAACTCATTGCACCAGTTGGGGTTAAATAACTTGTTGCCAGCTGAAAGATAATCGCCCATGCAGTAATTATCCAATAGGAGGCTCGTACCTATTTGCTTAGTTAAATCCAGGTGGCGACATTTTTTTTTTTGGCCAGGCAGTGTATAACACACACACACACACACACACACACACACGGATCTAATATTTATATTGCCATTACAACCCTACAGAATGTTTGTGATAACAAAGAGGTTAAAGAATTACTACATATACTTGGAAGAGCAACTGATCCAAATCCTCTTACTGCAAACTTGTGGTATTCAGTGTGAGGACAGTCAATTGCATTGCTCATGTCAGAAGACTCATATTACTTAATTGGAAGCAGGCAACGATGATGATCATCATATTGAGCTGTTTTGGTGTCCCCTCCAGCACTGGTGCCTTACACAATACGCAGAGTGCATGATGCACTTGCCTGTTGTGGCGCCGCTGGAGGCTGGCATGACCGCAGTGTTTTGGGCTGGACTGAAGTGAGGAAAAAGAGATTGGAGCGTGCACAGTTGCCGTGCTTGCTATACGTAGAGTCTGCGTGGTCACAAAAACTGGGTGGTGCATAGATGACTGCAGAGGGTTCTGTGCGGACCCTCGCGGCCATTGGTGGATGACAACATTTACGTCACGCAGACCCTCAACCCCCCCAGGAACAGGTCTGGGCTTTGATGCCAATTTTACGTAGTGGACAAAAGTGGAATTACACCATTTGGGTCCATAACATGATGCTATGGGGGCAAACAAGACATTTTCCCATAGATTTACATTGTGAAAGAGACATCTGTAAATTAGTGGATACATATTTTTGAACGTCACAACATCCACATCCACAGTCTCTAGTGTGCTTGCTCTACAGATCCCACAACACACAAAATCCAGGTAATTTCATACTGCAGAAACTGAGCTTTTTTGGCTTCACATGCAACTGAACAACTTCTGTAGGAATGAACAGGGGCACGCCTTCAATACTGTATCCGGCTCTTTTTATACATCCATGGGACCCTTGCAGACATGCAGAAACTATAAATAAAATTTTAAAAAAAAGATTGTGAGTGGGCTTCATTGACGTAACGCATCCTCTGGCGACCATGTTTGCCTTTCTTTGCTGTCTTCTGATCATGACTGAGAACTGAATTTGACACTATTGACATCACCAGTTTAGCTTTTGTTAGCTTTCCATGGCTTTGTTGCTTCCTATTATAATCTAGCATTAATACAATAGGTATAACACTATGTGTAAATGTTAACTAATTAGGCAGACTACACAGCCCATATTAACAGCAGCCCAAATTACCGACTGCAGACAGAATGTACATGTTATTTTTTCAACTGTTTCCTGATTCTTGAAAGGGAAGGATTTTACAGATGCTCCATTCTTACATGAGAAAATGACTTTGTAATTGTGACTTCAAAAGGTGCTATGTAAATAACTATTATAATTATTATTTAATGCTAGCTTTCCTGTTACTCCTTTTAAATCCAGTGTTTGTATTAATTGTGGCTGTCAGCTGGAGTTCATCATTACTAAATGAGTTCTGCCACTACACCACTACTTGAAACTTTTTTGACATACATGTATTAAGTGTACTCACAGATGGAAAAGACAAAATGAGCCAAGGCACTTTTAGATAATGAGTGAGCTGTGCTTTGTTTTGATGAAGTGTGAGCGGAGTGAAGATAAAATCAATTGTAATGACCACAATGAGAACATAGCAAAGCTTTAGGCACGTTGCCTGACCACTTACTTTCACTACTGCCTATGCAGACAGTTTATCTGATTTAAAATGTCACTTCCTCTGTTACAGCGCAAGGTGCTTACCTTTCTGTTCTTCTTTTGTATCACTTCTTTTATTAACTCCAGAAAACAGAGCAAAAGCTTTTCCTCTTGCATGCACATATAGACTGCATGCCAACCGCACCGTATTCTATAATTCTGCCAGTATGACAAGGGAACATGAATCAGGTAGAAACTATTCTATAATTCAGCAATGCCATAATTGTTTCTTCCATGCTACTTTAAAGATTGATTTAATTTGGACATTTTGTGGTTGAAATATTATTTCTACACGTGTTTAAAGTTGGGAAAAAAAAAAAAAGGTCACTCACCGGCTCCTCTAGTTTAAAGGCCAGGGAGAAAAACAGGATAAAGAGCACTGCTGAAGACTTAGTCATGGTATACCTTGAATGACACAAAATAAGAGTCACACAAAAGAATAGAACAATCCAATTACTGGGTAAATACAATACTGCTAACCTGAATTTTGTAAATACATATTTGTGGTATCTTCTATGAAAAGAAGGAAAGGCAACAAACTTACAAGCTAATGGTGATGAAGAGGAAGCTCCAATTGGAAAGTCCAATATCCAGTGCTGTGGCTAAAGCTGGGTAATAAGGACAGAATTTTGGACTTTTAGAAGACAAACACCTTGCAATAAATTATGTTTTTGTATGGCTATGTTGCAACTATCAATTGTTAGTAAGAAGGTAGTTAATCAAGAGATGCTTTTTAATAGTTCATATTTAAATGAGTAGCAGTGAAACTTACAAATTATAGGCTTAAAGCTAGAGAGCTACATGGGATATTTTAATGTGTCTGTCACTGATTAAAGACAAACAGATAACGGGTAATCCTATCTAAAGTGTCCGCACAATGAAAAAACAACACTCCTCTCACCCATCTTAAATTATACCCCTAAGTGTGATGTAATGTCTGTATCAGTATGGACTTTAGTCAAAGTACTCCTCACTGAGAGCTTTGTCAGTCAGTGAACATGATAAGAGCTGACCATCAGCCCCTTTTCTAATTCTCTCTTTTCTGAACACTTTGTGTTGCTGTATGAACAGTGAGGTAAAAGTCTCCACTAAAATCTCACCTGTGGGAGCCACTTTATAAATGTAATCTGTCCAGCTCAGAACAATGCGGGGCTTCCCTGTCCACCACTGCATGGCCCGTCGCGTCAGAGTCGACAGGCAGAAGATGATGGTGAGGTGAACTAATGTCATGAAGAGGGGATAGTGGAAGCCCTGAAAGAGAAACAGACAGGGTGATCTAGGTTGGCCTAGTGGAAGTAGATTGTGTCTCAGGGTTTTCTCAGGGCTCTGAACCCTGTGACACTAGGAGATGACCTACTTCAATCATGTCCAGAGTTCAGCCTAGGGGCCAACTGTGACCCACAGACTGACTTTAAACAGCCCATGGCTTTTGTTTTAAAATATACTATATGAATAACACAATATTAGTTAATCAAGCAAGATCACTTTGCATATTCTTTTCATTCACCTCACAATATCAGGACTATCATAATGTTTGTAGACATGCACCAAGTAGGAACTTGGACCTAATGTGTTTTCATAGACAGTAACAGAAACAAACAAACAGTTACCAAACACCAGATATATCCTGCTTAACAGTAGACATGACCACAGCACAGAAGAGTAATGTCAAGAGCGAGTGCTGCTACTTTCAGGAGCAGTGGAAAGTTGAATACTTTTTCACTTAAAGATGAAACAGCTGCATTTGTGTCATTTGGATGTGATTTCTTTTGATGATGTGAGAAACAGCTGACCCCCTGGTATTTACACATTATCTGATCCGGCCCAACTGAAAAACAGGTTTAAACACCCCTGGCCTATGTAAGACCTCCTCCAAGACATTATATCGGTTAGCCACATTTGATTTCCATTAATCATCCAAAAGAAATACCCCACGGTGCTTTATGAACTCCTTCACTTACCTTCATCAGCCATTTGTTATAAAAGGTGATGCCTATAGAGAAGACATAATAAAGGAGAACTAATCCAACAGTGCGAAGCCCCCGGCAAAAGAACTGGACAGGGAACGCCATCCAGGGCTGCCAGGATCAGCGGTAGAGAAAGGACTGCTTTTGTAAAACAACCATCACCAAAGTGAATCTGCATCCTTTCCTGACACCCATTGCGAACTGCTTTCAGAGAGGGAGAGACACCGTGAGGAAGAGGAGAAAGGGGGAAGATGGAGAGAGGGAAACAGCGTTAGTGTTTGGCTAAACCTGTACAGTAGTGTTACAGCTGATCAAGTGGCTAGAAAGTTAGTTATCAAAGTTATATACACGCCTGCTGCAATGTTAGCCCAATGGCAACATTAGTGTTAGCTCGAGTTTGACAACCACCATCTGCTAACGTTAAGTAAACTTAAACAACGTTAGCTAACTGTTAAGCCACCATTAAGGTACCCAATGTTGGCCACAGTTAGCTTACAAATTATTAAACAGGAACTGAATTAGTTTATTATCATTAATTAAACAGCCTTGGCCAATATTAGCTGATAAACTGACCAGTACGTGAGGTAACGGTTGCACTTACCAGATGGTTGTTGTGCTAAGTTTGACAGGTCCCATTGTCTACAAATAACGTTATAACCCGTGAGTTTACATATGCTTGCTATGTAAAGCGGAGTTGTATTGTTGATACGGGTTAAATAATGGCTGCTAACTGTATTAAAAATGAATAAGCCTTTACTTCTTGACCCCCAAAGTCTTCTCTGTTAGGCTGACAGTATCACTTGCTTTCTGCAAATAGTTAAAGTGCGCCCCTCATGGTTTCCGCCGGTAGAGAATTTGCGTATCTTTGATTAGTAAAGGAATGACCCGCCCTACTCTGCCTTACTCTGCCTCTGGTTGGCCATCCCATTCCTCTTGTCTAAATCTAACCAATCAAACCAACGAAAGGAAGGCGTACTAACCAATCAGAGGGAGAGTAGGACGGGTCATCCTTTCACTATCCTGAGAAACGTGTCATTCTCTGGCGACACCAACACGCTGAACTCCATTGATGAATCTCTCGATTCTTAGTGGCGATGCATATTTCGCCAATTCAGATCACTTGTAATGAAAGCTAAGACATTGGTCGAAGCATCGTGAACCATTCTTTTATTCGGCATCCACACTGCCCACACAGAAGTGGCATGATTTAATACATTACGACTTTTCTGTGTTGGTTGGTATCGCTTTCTACCGTCCCCGTGGCGTTTTTCCACTAATATAATACACACAAAGCGCAAAAAATTCTAGTAAATGCAGTTTATACACACGCGGATTTAGCTAGCGTAATAACAATTTAGATAGTTGGTGATCCACAGAGACACGAGTGTTTTAAATTGTCTTATTTTTAAACTGAGTTTGGCCCTATCTGTCTCCAAACATGGCAGCACGTATCAACAGCAAAGGAACAACAATGCAATATGCCATGAAAGAGACCAACCGCTAGTCATGACAGTGTATATGGCTGTGTCATGTGCACACTTTGTGATACAACATTATTCTGAGATTACTCAGAGGGTAACAGTGCTGGAGAAAAATAACCACAGGGGGGCAGTATTTTCTACAACAAACGTTTGTTCCCCTCACATCACTTCCATGGTCGAGGAAACTCAGGCGGAAGTCAACAGAGAACAGCCTGTTGTGTTGTGTTACTGTGCGGAGCTACAAGGTAATTTTTCTCTGCTATGCTCTAATTAAGTATTATGTGTAACTTAACAGTATAACAAATTAAAGTTTATTTATGTAACTGTCCTATCCATGTATATTTGAGCAGAATGGCGGATGAGGACGAGGAGCCTGGCTTCGATGAGGAGTTGGAGGACGGGTCCAGCGGAGTGGATGTCGGCCACGGGAAGAGAAAGAGGCTTTTCTCCAAGGAGCTCCGGTGCATGATGTACGGATTTGGAGATGACCAGAACCCGTATACGGAGTCTGTGGACATTCTGGAGGACCTGGTGATCGAGTTTATCACGGAAATGACACACAAAGCCATGTCAATCGGACGCCAGGGCCGTGTCCAGGTGGAGGACATCGTTTTCCTCATCCGGAAGGACCCCAGGAAGTTCGCCAGAGTCAAAGACCTACTGACCATGAACGAAGAGCTGAAGAGAGCCCGGAAAGCTTTCGACGAAGCAAATTATGGCTCATAACCACATTTTTAACCTATATCTGTAGTAGTTTTCCATTTCATTTTAATTGCTGTTTAATTGAATTGTTAATTCTCAGACGTGTGTTCTTGAGGAGTTTGTTCAGATGTGACTTGCTGTCCCAAGTCTGTTTTTTGCGACGTGCTGTTTATTATTTTATATAGTGGTATGGCAGTGTCAGCGTGTTGTGCACAACCCTGATGACATGCTGTCTGGGACTGTCTCAATAAAGAAACTTACATATTTGTTAAATATGCCCAGTCATAAGTGTTAATTTTAATGCCAGAATACCGAGACTGTTAAGAACATCTGGACAGTGACATTTATTACTCAACATCACAAGCACAAATTAACACAAACACAGGCTGCAAAATTGCATTATCATACTGCACTCACGGTTGGATAACGGCCAACTCACTTTTAGTTGCATCACCTAACCTCAGCTCTCAAAATTTTACATGTACCCCAGAAAGTGTGCAGCCAGTGTCTACCTCAGTTTAGCACAGCGTTATAGGCTGTAATGATAACTAAGGTTGTAGCCATAATTCAACTGACTGAAAATGAATTGCCAACTATTTTGATCATTTTTAGTGTATTTTATTATATGAACATCACAGTACCATTCAAATTGTACATTGATGCACAAGAACCAGATGAGCTGTGTTTAGTCTTGGTAGTGAAATGCTTATTTGCAACATCTGTCCACAGGAGGCTTTCTAAAAGTTAAAATAGTTGATGCAGAACAACCACAGCTCCTACCAGCATAGTCTTGGCAAGGTGCTGCCAACATCAGTAAGTTAAAACTTGTAGAAAACGATATCTGCACACTTAAATCTGTTCAGTGTTTCACTTTCTTCTGAGCTTTTGGTCTGTCAGAGCTTCACCAGAGCATACATGAATCAACAATGGACAGGCAGGTAAAAGCTTTAACCACCAGGGTTGTGCACAGGTGGGTTGCATACTGCCAGTGATTAGACTGGGATTGGTTTCATTTACCTGCCTGTCCATTGAAGTGAAGTGTAAGAAAGTTTTGTGTAATGCAATGCAACACTTGCCTTGTGTTGAGGCCTGTATGTTGACTCTGCTGGTGTGTTGATGTCTTCCAACAAATTCATTACGCAGAGATGGAGCATGACCATAGAGACATTTAAAAATAAGCTTTGGGTTAAAATAGTTCATGAAGCTTTTGAAGCTGAACATATTGTATTTTTTCAAGATGTGGCAGTGCTCTTTTTTGTCCATAATTTTTATTGTCTGGTCATACAATCATATGATAGGTTTTATAGTTGATTCAAAGGCTTGTGACCAGGTGCAGCATGATATGATAGATGTGAGATTATCACGGCATGCACATAAAGCTGGGCTGTACTGACGGGCAAACATTGTCTGACAAGTCTGAAGCAGTTAAGATTTGCATTAACTTTTTTGATTAATTTTTAAAAAAATAAAAAAAGGCTAAACTTTCTAGTTCCAGCTTTTTCAGTGTAAATTCTTGCTGTTTAGTCTGCTATAATTGCAAACATAATTTGGAGGTTTCGAGAGTTAGACAAAGCAGGACAGTTAAAGGTGTCACACTTTGACTATGGAAAAGTGACGAAATATTTTACTATTTTCTGACATTTTATAGACAATATGATTCATTGATTAATCTGAAAAACAATCTGCTTAACATTTGATACTGAAAATAGCCATTAGTTGCAGATCTTACAGTAACATTGGAAATTATTTGTGAAAGCAGATTGTACTATTTGTGCTGAGAATTTCACATGCTTAAACCCTTATTAAACTACATGATGACATTGTTAAACCACAGTCAGGGACCTAGCCAGGGCCTTACAAAAATACAAACACAAACAAAAAATAAAAAAGTGTGATAAAATAAAATATTTGTGGTAGAATTTTCTGTGTTGTCTCTATCAACCCCTAAAATACACATCACCTTATGACAGCAGATACCCAAATCAACACCTTAAAAGTCCACAGTATGTTCAGCACAAGATGTAGTGATAAAGACCAAACTGGCTGTGGTTCAAACAAAATGGACAAAAAGAAGAAATAAACAGATTTTATTAATATTCCTCAAAACAAAATTTTTACACAGACCTTAAATATGACAGACCAACTACAAGTGAGCATGTCTTAATTCATTTATTCTGTTCAAGCAAATTACTTCTTTGTACAGTAGTGGTTGAATGAATTGGTCTAAGCAGCAGGTAACAGGCTGCCAATCTATCTAGACTACATCTAGATCAGAGCTGTACCAACAGGAGGGGGCTCAACGCTTGTTAACGCAACTAAAAAGGTGTGTGCAGTGAATTTCCCCATTGCAGCCTTGCCGTCCTGTCACGGGGTACAGCGTCAGCGCAGCATCCATGGGCTGTGTGCATACACAAGCGGGCTGGGGAAGAGTGTAGCCCCTCCGCCCAAGCGACCCCTGCCGGGTGCCCTAGCTGTCTGTTGAGGTTGGCTATAAGGATGGAGAAGAGAGGCAGTAAACCAGGTGGACAGGAGGGGGAGAAGGAGTATGTGTGTGGGAGGGGGGATTTGAGTGGGTCAGTGGGTGTCAGATGTGTTCAGAATGAGGGCTCTAAGGGAGGAGGAGGAATGTCCATTGAGTCTTTCTGGTTTTACTGCACATTCTCCATCATCTTGAGGAATTCTGGAAAAGAGAAGAGAGATGGGATGGTGTTACTGAGATGGGAAGTTTCAGTTACCATGATCATCATCATCAGTGATACCTCAACAAACTGCAAATGTAGGCTACTGTATCCTATGTCACATGAGTGATTCAACTAAAAATCGTCTTTTCTTTTTCAAGGTTGTGTCATTTGAGACAAGTGGAGGCTGAAAACTACTTTTTAATTCACAAAAAACAATCAAACAGGCAACGTTAAACGTCACAAGTATAGGCCTATCATGTATTGGATTAATGAATGAGCCTACTGGTCACAGGCACAGGGACCCAAAGTGTCAGTGGCCCCTCTGATTGATATGTACCGAAGAGACACAAAAAGTCCACAAAAAATGCAAGGGAACAGCTAAGAGACACAAATGTACTACAAAGAGGAGCAAAACAATAACAAGGAGACAGAAAAAAGTCTGTGTGATTCTCTCCTATGTAGGAGAGTTAGAGGGGCCTATTGCATATCTGTGCCCAGGGGCCCATTATCTCATAATCACAACAGAAATACAGAAAATATGCTGCCAAAAATATCTAAAAAAATAAAATAAAATAAAAGATTTTAAAAATGTAATTTTAAATTACTATGGATTCTTTAGTGTGCCACAAACACACTCAAAGTCCTTTATTGGGATTGTTAATAACTGGAAAAGTGACGTTTTTACATTGACCCAACACGTCCCTCGTAGTTATCATCATCACCATCATGCACGTACCGTCAAAGTCCAGCATGCCATCGGCGTTTTTGTCTCCATCCTTCATCAGCTCATCAATCTCATCCTCTGTGATGGACTCGCCGGAGCTGCGGATGATGAGGGCGAACTCCTCTCTGTCGATGTAGCCGTCGCCGTTCCTGCGCAAAACACAGAAGAGCATGGGAATGTAAACATAAACAAATAATTATATGAGAAAATAAAGATGCAGCTTTCAGAGGATGAGTATAGCATAGCCTACTAAGTGAACCTCGAACAGTGTAAACGTACTTGTCGAACACACGGAAGCACTCTGCCAACTCTTCCTCGCTCTTGCCGGCCTGGTCCTCCTTTAGCAGCCTCACCATCATGACCAAGAACTCCTCGAAGTCGATGGTACCGCTACCTGAGAGTAATAATGAAGCAACATAACTGATTAACAATGGTCAGCCCGAACAGAGGTCAAGTGTCCTGGTGGGACAGTGCGCTCGTCTTTGCGCACAATTTTACGCATGAATTACACCAAAAGATAAATCGGAATTAAGTGACCCCCGATCCGTAACATGTTATGATTATGAAATAATAAATCAAAGCAAAACTAAGAAAAAAGTTGTGTGTTTAGAGAACAAAAATAACGACGCTGGTTGGGTATATAGGATCAATACTCTCTCCCTTTGCGCATCTGCGCTCAAACTTAACCAACGCATAATTACAGTTTTGGTTCCAAATCATGCTAAAGTTACTTGGTTTATTTGAGCTGATGTGAAATAGCTATAAAGTGTCTGAGTCATGTATTGCTTGTGCGTAAAAACACTCATTGCGCACAATGTGCTCGACAGGCCTACTGTGTTGCTACCAGAGACAAACTGTATTATCCGTCGCTCACCGTCCTCATCGACCTCCTCGATGATCTCATCCAACTCCTCTCTTGTCGGGTTCTGGCCCAGCATCCTCATCACGGTACCCAACTCCTTGGTGCTGATATCACCGCCACCGTCGGTGTCAAACATGTCAAAGGCGGCCTTGAACTCTGGAGAAATCAGAGTTGACAGATCGTGGCTCGTTACTCAAAAAGTGGCCTCATTTCTCTGCATTACCTACTAGACGGTTCCTAAAAAACTACATAAAATAACCCCCCATATTTTTCTACAGAATGTAAAACAAATAAAATTTACCTCTGTGTGAATAACTTAAGTAACACCTTCTACCACCACTGTGGCACTATGCCAATCATCCCTTTGATCGTTAAAATCTAAGTAACACTGGGGGTTGATTTCACAAAGAGGATCTGAAATTGTCTGCTTGTTCTGTAGGAGCTCATTCTATATTCTATATTCATTCTAATATATTTCTTTCATATGATTAGTTACTCGTTCCTTTGCAAAGTAACGCCATTGCTAAAGTAACGCGTCACTGTAGCCTGTACTTACCAGCCAGCATTTCCTCGCTCAGGTAGGAGCGGGCCTCTTGTTGCGCGTCAGTCTGGAAGAAAACAGTGGCCACTGTGTCACTTCATCATTCAATACAGGCTTGATTCATCATTCCAGTGAAAACCCTGGATATTGCGTTTATAGTCTCAAATTCATAGTGTCACATAATGGCGACACTAACATTTTTTAATTTCATAAAGGCTGTCCGTTTGATACATAAACAAATATATTACTAACAACACTGTAAATGTTTAAGTTATCATTTTGAAATTCAACGCGTAAAAATGCCATTACGCGCAGAACAGATGATACTATCAGGACTATTACAGGAATATTCTAGAATTTGTTTTTATTGACGTTACTGTGTGATTAATGCTGGTGATGATAACATGCTGTCATAAGTCATGTGTTGCAGGATATAGTTGCTGCGTCTCAAACGGATTCTTGAGTTTGGTGCAAATGAGTCCGGCTATTTCAGGCTCAACACATTAAGCTCGCTGTATATGGCCTGCAGACATCTAATCCTCGGGAATCTGTCGCCTAAGCAGAATCCGCACCTTCCCAGCTGACACCCACACAGCTCCTCATCTTAACTTTCTACCATCAGTACAATTTGCAACAGATACCTGACTAAAATAGAAATCTTGTTGCAATCATTATGAATTCCACTAAAATCAACTAAAAAATATCACACGTTTACTCTACGAATTAATTGTTCAGAAAATAAGAGTCAAATTTAGCCATTTGAAAATAAATCAACAGATAAACATTTAAATCAAGAGAAGGAAACATGCCCCTCAACAATGCGCCTATTGATTTTTAGACTTTGACATGCCTTTATTACTCAATTAACTCCTGATTCACATGCTCTCTTTATTATGGGTTAATAACTAATGGCCTGTTGAGCGACCAACTTGGAATAGTTCAGCGGGTCATTTTGCGGCAATTGCTTTGGTCTTACCATGTTTGTGGATTAGCTTTTCCCCCCCAAATATCCAAGGAAAAACAGACAAGCCCAAAGGAGTGGTGAATCCGTGTGCACCCCAACAGAGACACTAGACGTCAAGTGAAGATTCAGACACACTTTAAACGGGACAGCCAGGTCCCGCCCCCTGCCTCTCACAGGCCTCCAGATTTAGTATCCTGAACTTTTAGGGTTCTGGGGCCACGGCAAGCCAATCACACTTTGGAGAGGAAAAGCTCTTGTTTCTCTAGGGTTAAGAATGTAAAAGAGGTAAAGCTGGAGTTTTTGTGATTCACGTCAAGGTAGGGAAATCTACAGGAAAGAATGGAGATGCAAAGTTAATAATGCTAGGTGTGGGGGATAATGCAAAGATAAACATATTCAGAATATTTCACTGTCATCTGATTTGTCAGAACTGAGAGGAACAGGGGTAGGATGTGAGGAAGTGGAGGAACTGTGACACTCTGCAAAGGATTCACAATGAAAAGCAAAACACACTTGAAGAAAAATCCAGTTAATGCACAAGGTTACTCCCTATATGACCCCGTAGCAGCTGTCAGTGGCAATCTCCCAAAATAACTAAAATGTAACCAAAATCAGTGAAGAAATAATCAAACTAGCACTGATGAGCTGCACGATCGGCCTTGTAAATAGAAGACAGTGGATGGGGAGCCTGTGATTTTAAAGTAGGTTATGGGTTTTGTGATGATGGCGTTTCAATCTGGGCGTGAAACTCAAAACCAAGAGAAAAATGCCTTGGAGCTGGACCCTCGTCTCACCCAACCCCCCCACTCTGCCTCCACCCACTATAGCCGCGAATAGTAGGCAGATTTTAGGCTGAGATGGGGACAGGGACACAGGGCAGGCACCCACTCATCCCGCTGCCACATTGCCTGATAAACACAACCTGATGCTCCTTAAATGGTGGGTGGTTCCTGAAGGGAGGGCCTGAGGTGGACGACAGGAGAGGAGGATAGGATGCTGAGGAGGGGAGCAGCCATGAAGAAAGGGGAGGGATGTCGTTTTTGAAAAGTGGTGGGGGGCTAGCGGGCTATATACCCAGAGGGAGAGCTGTGTTTAGCAAAGGGAGATTGAACTCATCTGTTCTGTGACTGCGTCGAGCCTTTAGTGCTGGCCGGCTGCTCGGCCTTCATCTCTCACACTGGGACCACTACACGAAGACCAGTGACAGTTATGACAGATTTAGGCAGAAAACAAATTGGAAGAGATCACTTTAAACTAGATAAGTGAAAACTTTCTGAGATATGACAGCGTTGAATGAGACAGGGAGGTTGGTTTTCGGCACTAACTATGCAAATAGAGGTTGTTCAAAATGCAGCACGGAGGCTATTTGGAAGTTGGGACTGAAATAGGGAGATACAACCAGTTCTAGTTGGGCAAAAAAGTGTAGGAGTGCGTGTGTAATGGTAGGATGTTGGTGGTATAGAAAGTGCATGTGCTTGTGTGTCATTGTGTATGACCACTTTAAGTGTAGCCATGCATGTGTGTGAGGCCAGAGAGACAGCATTGATGTAGAAGTACCAGAAAGGTCACAGAAAGATTATCCAAAAAACGTAGCAGACAAAGATCAGGTGAGATAAGAGGTGTCAGGCATGCATGGCAGAATAATTTGCAAAGATGAACAAGGAGAAAGTGGATTTATTTAGAAAGCACAGAACAGGGTGGAGAAGATATTAAGTTTTGAGGAGGAGGAGGGTGGGGGGTTTAAACTATTGGTGTAGCATTTCTAGAGAGACAGCAGCTGCCAAGGGGACAGCTGGGTGGCCAGCTCAAGGAGGCAGTCAGGGGAGAGGGTCTTCGTCTTAAAAGGTTTGAACGGATATTTATAGAATTCCTCCCAGAGCCCCCTGGGTTTCATATGAGAAGGGGAAGGGGGGGTGGAGGTATTTCACTTGTATCCATTTTGACGTCTCAAAAACGTTACATTCGTAATTGCACTGGCTTTTATAGCATGTAGAGTTTGCTCTGAGCAGATCTCCAGCAGATAGCTTGCTTTGTATTCTCTCTGAGGAAGGGTCACCAAGGAATGTAGAGCTGGCCTCATTACTGGACGTTCTCCATCATCTTCAGAAACTCTGGAGAGAAAAAGATGGCAACAGTCAATCAAGCAACCCACCACCGAACTGTTGAAGTGTGGGCTGCACAGAGTGTGGACAAAACCTGAATGTGAGCTTTGGGTTGGAATCAAATCATGGAGAATGTGATTGTATTGCATAAATGCTGTGTATGTTGAGAAATGCTATAGTCCTGTCTGACATGGCATGCCTCATATTCATTTATATACATAAGGAAGCTGTCCATGTGTGCAGACTTGTTATGGTAGAAAAGGTCATCCTTTTCAATTCCATATTTTGTGAGGAAACTGGTATTGTTGTTGAGAGTAACAAAAGGGAAGGTTAACATAATCATTCTGCCTTTTCACAGCACAGAGTGGTGAAATTATATCAAGATCTAGCTTATTCTAGATTGGTGAGGAAGCCAGTGGTGCCCCCAAGAGGAGGCCAGTGGGGGCCATGACCACTTGATATAACTGATAAAATTTCTGGGGGCACCACCAAGAAAAACTGAGAGTTAATGGTCTTACTATCAGACTCTCATCATCAGCATACCTGTGATTACTTTAAGACAGTGGTTCCCGACCTTTTTCTTTAACAGACTCCTTTTCTATTCAATGCACAACAAAAACAGTACAGAAATAAAAAAATAAAAAAATAAATATTTATAGAAACTGTGTTTTCCTCTTCCTTTTGTTGGCAAATGTTCTGTTAGCTCTTTGGTTGTTTCAACTAAGTACTTTTCTAACGCAGGACAAGTGAAAGCTCTGTGAATATAGCCTGTGTTCAGGTCTTCCTTGTATCCTGTGTGTTTTTTAATACATATGTATATATATCTTGAATAACAATCTAAACTTAAAAAAAAAAAACAGGTTGGCAACCGGTGCACCAAGACACATGCTGTATTTATACTAAATAATATTATACAACCAAAAAACATTTTATTTACAGGAACTCATGTAAAGGAATACCTCTGCATTCTAGAAAATGTGCTTATTTGCTCTCTAACCAACATAAGAAGATGAGAGACTGATTCCACTGCAGACACACATATACATATATATACATACATATATATATATATATATATACATATAAAAGGCAGATATCTTGATGTCATATCAAGCTAGTTGCCAGAGTTAATGTTGGCATTGTGCATTTCTGCAAACCACGGACATGTTACATTTGTACATTTTATATGGAGCAGATATGTTGAAACTCAATGTTTCCTTATGTTTCAGTTTTCATCTTATGTTGTGACAATGCTGTTAACATGTGGTTAAGTTTAGAGACAAAAAACACTTAATGTCAGGAAGAAAATCATGTTTTGGCTTACAAAAACCCGCTTTGTCTACAAACACAACTGGAAATATCCCATCATGTTGTTAAAGAACACTTTTGTTGTTTGTTAGTCTCCACAGTGGTCTGCTGCTGTCTGCTGCTTATAGCCGTCTCACCTTTCTTCAATTAAGCTAAAGCACTGAAAATGTAGTTAGTGGCTCTGAAAGTCCAACCTGTTTTTCTCTCCCTCTGATAATACAGCAAATATTATGAAAGACACTGTGTAGTCCACAGGAGTGAGGAAACGCTTCTAGCTCTATGTAGCTTAATCTTACCATCAAAATCAATCTTTCCATCTTTGTTTGTGTCTGCTTCACCGAACATCTCATCAATGTCTTCCTCTGCAACACTTTCTCCAGTCTGATGGAGGATATCACCAAACTCCTCCCGATCAAGGAAACCATCTCCGTTCCTGAGGATGAAAAATAATAATAAATTCGCTGTGTGAAAAGTAATCTCCTGCCTCGCTGCTCTCTTACATCACCACACAAACACACACTGGACATTAAAATGTGTGCTTTATTTTTAAATTTCAGGTCAATTTTCATCAATATTGTAATTTAGCAGCCATAACTGTGGCTTGTGGCTGAGCTAAAGTCCAACGAAAATAGATTTTTGAGGCCAATATGATAAAATATTTTAGTTTTAAACGGGGTTTAAAGCATCAGAATAGGAAAGATTCCCAAACATAACTTTATTAAATAAATGCATAACATAAACAAACATTTTTGATAAAGACCCTTTAAAATTGGTTGCTAAAGAACTGTGCACAGTATACTAAAGGGGACATTTTGCAGTTAAAAAATGTCAACACCTTATAGTGGACACAATCTAGTTTCACTGTTTCTAAATGACCTCTTTCTGTCCTGCAATTTTCTTGTAGTCAACATACACAGTAGGCCTATACAAAGATGCCACACCAGGATTCATTTTGATTTGTGTTTGTAGCCACCTGGTGAATGTCAGTCCAACATTTATTCTCCTTTTATCTCTGTATTTGGTCTTTACAAACACCTGATTAAAATATGTAACTGTCTGTCATTTGATGCTTGGCAGGTTGTGGGGTTATGTAGTGGGTTTTTCAGTGCTGTGGCTGGAAAACATAATGAGAGGTGAGTGTGTGGGCCAGAAAACCAAAACAATTAGCTGAAAAATGCTAAATTTTTACATGGAGCTGAAGAAAACCGCTGAGTCGGTCATAATTCCACTGGGTTTCTTCACTAGGAATGACCCCTTTCACATTACACATGGTAATTTGATCCAATTTCAACATAAAACAAATAAAACTGAGTGCAGCTTTAAAGTTCACTGTGTAGGAGTTAGTGGCACCCGGTGGTGAGGTTGCAGACTGCAACCAACAGAAGCCTATACTATGTGCCAAACATGTTGTGGAACTATGGTGGCCGAAGCGACAATGCACATGGCCCAATCTAAAGCCAGTATTTGGTTTGTCCATTCTGGGCTACTGTAGAAGCAACATGGTGGATTACTAGGGTATACATGGGTTGTTCTAAAGCAAAGGAAAACATAATTCTTATTTTCAAGTGATTTTTCACTAATGAAAACATAGTTACAAATACCAGTTCTGCCAACAGATGCCCCTAACAACACACTGGAACTTTAAAGCGACTATATTTGATATTTTGTATAATAACTTTATAGAATGACAAAGTGAAAACAATGTGACAGTGTGAAAGGGGTTGGCTGTACTGATACCCTCATAGAAAATTCTCACCT